TTCTGAAGAAGCAGTTCTTTGAGGCTCAGGTCTCTTGCCTTTGAGTGATTAGAGAGCCCCGTGGCTAGGAAGATAAACCAGTGCTCACCCAGTCAAAAGCACTGAAGAAAACCCCCTTAACCAAAACCAGCAGTGAAACTCTCCCCATAGTCCTGAGAGTAGGGGTGTCTCTGCCTCCAACCAAGTCACTAGGAAAAAGAAAAGGTCTTGCTAATGCTATTTTGGGGAGTCCTGGTGTGGCGCTGTGGGTTAATGTGCTGGACTGCAAAGTCGTTTGAACTGCAAGGTCTGCAGTTCAAGCTCACCAAACGCTCCTAGGAAAGCCTATACAGGGTCGCTATGGGTTGGAACCAACTTGACAGCATTTAACAATAGCAGCAAATGGTATTTTTGAGTCCTGATGCGGCACTGTAGGATAAACAGTGGACTGCAAAGTTGGTTTGACTCCACCAGGTCAGTGGTTCAAATTCACCAGCTGCTCCAGAGAAACTCTATACAGGGTCGCTATGGATTGGAACCGACTTGACGGCACTTAACAACACATGGCATTTTTGAATCCTGGTGTGGCGCTGTAGGATAAGCACTGGACCACGAAGTCGGTTTGAATTGCAAGGTCAGTGGTTCAAATTCACCAGCCACTTCTCAGCAATCCCTATACTGGGTCGCTATGAGTCAGAACCAACTCTTAACCAGTACTTAACAACAACAATGCTATTTTGGGAAACTCCCTAAAGAAAGTACCCAATTAATAGAGGATCAGTTTTTAACTTAACTAAAATCCACAAGACATGTTTCTAAATGTTCAAGTCCTTCCTAAGCAAACTCAATAAACGAATAATAACTACAGCTGCGTTACCATGTCTATGAATGAGGGTTCTCTTAGGGAAGCTGTACTTTACAGGGCTGCTAGTGGTTCATCGTTGCAACAGATTACAAATCACTACATTGACACAAGCTGTTGTTGTTAAGTGCCGTCGCGTCAATTCTGACTCGTAGCAATCCTGTATAGGGTTTCCAATGAGCAGCGGGTGAACTTGATCCTGTATAGGGTTTCCAATGAGCAGCGGGTGAGCTTGAACCACTGACCTTACAGTTCAAACGACTTTGCTGTCTGACGCATTAGCCCACAGCGCCACCCCAGGACTCCAGAAGTTGTAGCAGGTACGAAATTGATACAAACTTCCAGTCTCTGTATAGCTCATTCTTACATGAAAATAAGTGAAACAGTATCAGAAAGTGCTCAGCCGGTACAGATAAAGCCTCAACCCGTAGCAAGATCAGGTTAGGCGCCTTCTCTTTAATCCCTGTTGCCTCAGTTTCCCAGATATAAGGCACATGTTTCCAAGCAAGTGCTTATCCAGAAGACTCATGCTAGCCTCCAAGGGAAGTGGCAGATCTACTGCACTGAATTTTCAAGGAGTCTCCTTAATCTAGGCGGGGCATCAGGTCTTTCTCCCATGAGCACTTGGGAGGGTTTGAAGGTCTTTCTCACATGGGGCCTCTTGAGGTGGGTTACAATGCCAATCTTCTGGGTAGCAGCCGAGGGCTTAAGTGTTGTGCTACCAGAGTTCCTTAAGAGGGGCCTGTTGTTGCCGCTGCTGCTGTTCTTCTTACAGGCCATCAAATTGCTTCTGATTCACAGCTACCCTAAAGGACACAGTAGATACGTACCAAGTGTGCAAGCCTGTGACTCTACTGGAGCCCAGCACCAAGTGTTTTCTCCCAAGGAGTCGCTGGTGGGTTTAAGGCATCAGCTTTTCAGTTAGCAGCCAAGCACTAAAACCACTGCATCTCAGGGCTCCTTAAGAAGGACTTGCTGCTGCTACTGTCTGCCTTTGAATTGGTTCTGACTCAGAAACCTTGCATAGGGTTTCCAAGGCTGTCAACCTTTATGGAAGCAGAAAGCCTCATCTTTCTCCTGCGGAGTGGCTGGTGGATTTGAATTGTTGACCTTGAGGATAGCAGCCCAACACATAACCCACTACGCTACCAGGGCTGCTGATGCTGTTGTTAAGTGCTGTGTTTCTGACTTACAGGGACCCTATATAGAGGGTTTCCGAGGAGTCGCTATCAGCTAAATTCCCTATAGTTTTTATTTTGCAAAGCACAACATCCCAGGCTGATGATGATGCCAGGAACCACATTAGACAGTAGGATGCTATATCCTCTCTCTCACACAGTCCCCATTTCAATAAAAGCGGAACTACAGACTCTACAAGTCCTGGAGTGTTAGCATTAAGTACCACTCGTTAAAGGAAACGTTCTTTCTAGGCTCCATGTTGCATTTAAACGGATTCAGATGCTCCTGGTAAACGACACAAATAAACATCACTGGATGGTGTCTAATTCACAACTACACAACACCACGGCTCACAGAGCTCCTTCATAGATCCAGAAAAATAAAGAACTTAATTTGTGACAGTAACCAGCTCTCCACGTCTGGTCTAGGCCCAGACCAGGGCAGTCCAGAGAAAGTGAGGGCTATTCGGTGAGCATTCCGGGTTTTAAAGCCGTCAGAAAAGAGGCAAGCCCTGCTTCCCGGTCCCATCCTTCATCTCTCACCATTAATCAAGCCACCTTCCAGGCTGGGAAGCAGTCCTTGCAGCTACCTGGCCCCTCCCTGCCTGCTTCCCCCACAGAATCAGGACCAGTACAACAAGCAGCTGCCCAAGACTGAAACCATTCTTTATGTCCCAACCAACCCCAAACACCTTGCCTGAGTGAGTAAGCTAAGGGCTTCTGGGACTGGATTTGGGATGGAAGATGGTCTGCACACACCACCCCATGGCTACCCAAGACTGACACTCTATGGAATCTCTCCTGTCCTCCTCCCTTTCTCCCTTCTCTCCTTCCTTGTTGTCTTCCTCTCTCACTGTCCCAATTTCTCTCTCTCTTTATAGAGGCAGCCAGCATTTGTCTTCATAGACTGAGAATACAGGGACTAGAAAACAATATGCGATGTTCTTTTTTATACCACGTGGGACCACAGCTGGCACACAGCTGAGAGGTTTAAGTAAACAGTGATCTATTTATACCTCTGCTCTAATCCCACCTGCTTTACCTGTGACTCAGACAAGTCACTTAACTCTCTAGCCTTAGTTTCCCTGTGTGTATGGATGCGGGTTAAAGATCTTGCACCAACACGGAAGAGGCAAGATCTGGTTCCTGAGTAACAATGTTGTTCACGTTAAATGTAAAGTAGCAGAACAGCCTTGGGGATGGAAACAACTTGTTGGTGGGTACCTTATAGTCAAAGTTCAACTCATAGCAACCATGTGACAGTACAATTGCCCCACGGGGCTTCCTAAGCAAGGGTTTCTACAAGGGCAGACCACCATGCCTGTCTTGGCAGAGGGACTGGGTGGGCTTGGCCCACCAATCTTTCAGCTAGCAGGCAGGTGTTTAACAAGTGCACTACTAGGGTTCCCTGAAAAGAGCATACATTTAACTTGTGACAAAACAGGAAATCTGAAGCCTCATCTTGTGATTTAAGAGAAGCCAATCATGTCAGATGTGCAGCCTAACGTAACACATCATCTTTGCCAGTTTTGGATAGGTTTTAAATATAAATTACTGATAATGACTTAATCAACAGAACCACGCTTTTCAAAGGAATGGTTAGGCTCCTAGCAATCACTGGTTTTAAATAAGACCATGCTATAACACAAATTATAGCACTTTAACAAAACACCATGAGCAAAAACATCAGAAATAAGTATCAACTCACAGAGAGGGAGAAGTCAGTTGATGTCTGTTCACCACCTATTTTATTTTGGTATTACAAGGGTTAATAAATTCACTGACTGTTCTATGTTCTCATTGGTTTCAGCTGGTTTTATATTAATGGAAACCAAGCAGCCTAATGTCTGGAGAAAACAGGTGAATTTCAAATTAGAAAATATCACCTACTCCTTATATGAATTTAAATGAGAACAGTTTGAACATTATTTTTTTTTCCCAGAACAAGTAACCCCTTCCTCTCCAAAACCCCACCCTGAAGTAGAAAAACACAACATATCACAACCACACATGCATTCTTCTCCCCAAGAATGGACTTGACTTCCATCAAGGCTAATAAGCAGAAATAGATTTCCCTCCGAGTTAACAGCTCAAACTGTCTGGTGGGTTAAAAAATTCAAGATGTTTGTGGAACCAGTGTACAGGCAGACACACCTGGTTACCCACAAAACCTAACACACAACGGCTTCTATACTGACCATCCTGTACTAGAGAACCCCTGGAAAATCTCAGTGACACTTTCTCTCTGATCGTCTTTGATTTCTAAAAGCAAATGGTAGATAATGGAGCTTCAATGGAAAAAATATCAGTCTACATTACTGTGGACTCTAAAACAGGAGATGGTTTTAAAAGGAATGAAAGTAAGCTTTAACTGCCCTTAGGATCCAGAGGGAATTGAAGTAGTAGTTCATTCTTTGGCACGTAGCCAAAAAAGCACACTCACCACACATCTGGAGTGGAATCAGAAAAATTGCACACCCTTCCGCCAGGCCAAAGATAGGGCATCAACATAAATATGGCTTGAGCACAAAATTAATCCCACTAACAGTAACAGGAGTCCTGGTGCGGCGCTATAGGATAAGCACTGGACTGCTAACCACAAGATTGGCAGTTTAAACCCACCAGCTGCTCCTTGGAAATCCAATACAGGGTATCTCTGTGAGTGGGAGCTGACTTAATGGCACTTAACAAGTGGTTACGAATTGGGCTACAAACCGCAAGGTCAGCAGTTCGAAACTACCAGCTGCTCCGTGGGAGAAAGCTGAGTCTTTCTGCTCCCGTAAAGATTCACAGCCTCGGAAACCCTGTACAGGGTCGCCATTGGTCGGAACCGACTCGATGGCACTTCACAACAACAAACAACCATCACAGGAACACACTGGTGTCCAAGAGAACATGTTTGATGGCAGTAACATCACTCTTAATGAATACAAATGAAGAATCATCGTTAAAAACAGAAACACACACACGCGCTCTCTCACCTCCAACATAGGTCTGGCACTGTCATGGACTGACAGAATGTGTGTCACTTTATTCTTATTCAACTGTTCTGCATCCCTGGCATCTGTCAAAAAAGAAAGAAATGGGACATTTTAATACTTCCTGTAAATTGATCGCTCCTAAAATTTAGCTAGGAAATCACAAAAGAAGACATGCAGATTTCTTTCTTGAAACTTTATCATTGATGATATCCACGAGAATCTAGAGCTAGAGAGTTTAGGCCTCTTGAGTCTATGTATTATGCAAATACCTGATTTTATTTCTAATTGATACACATTTGAATCCAAAGTGGACAACTTGAACTCAAATCAACATTGCAATCTTTACGGCGCTTAGAAGGTCGTTTTGTGGTTGACATGTACAAATGTATGGCTCTGTAGGATAAGCACTGGACTTGCTATGCACAAGGTGGGTAGGCAGTTCAAACCCACCAGCCGCTCCTTGGAAATGCTATACAGGGTCACTATGAGTCAGGATGACTGGACTGCACTGAACAACAACAAAGGTGAGTCTTTTATGTGAGACACTCAACAATAAAGATGCTTTAAATGCTTTGGATTAAAAAAAGAAAAGCTCTCTTAATAACTAATAATCTAAATGAAAACTAAATACACAGACCTACTAACAACAGAGGGAGTGTGGTGACTCCATGTGATAAGCACTGGACTGTGAACCACAAGTTCCACGGTTCGAGCCCGCCAGCTGCTCCCATAAAGATTTAAAAAGCCTTGGAAACCACATACAGGGTCGTTATGAGTCGGAACTAACTTGATAACACTTAACAACAACAACTACCTATAGAAGACAGGGGAACCTGCCAGCTATTTCTTCCTTCTGATGCCAACAGCAGGTACAGTGCTCCATGAAACAAGCCCATGGTTTATATCATCTACATTTACTTTAGGACAAAAATGAAACAGGGAAAATCTCTGGGAATTCCTTTCAGAGGGTCTGTTGGCTATCTGAATATAAAACCAAGGAGTCTACAAAATGACATCACCTTCCAATTGTTCCACCTGCAAAGAGAAGACTGAGAGGCACGGCCCTCCTGAACTCAAACCCTGAGCATATCAGTCCCCTGGCCCCCACGCCAGTGGTCTGGGACAAGCTTTGTAAAATGATCCACGGTAAAACGGACTGGAAGGTGAAGTGTAATTACCATGTGTGTAAAGAATACTTAATGGCATGGGAAAATGCTCAGCATAGAATGGTGAACAAGGGAAAAAAACAGGTACAAAATTTTAATACGACATAGACTTAATTTGTGAAAATACAGAGGAAAAAAACACACAAAACAAAACGCTATAGGGAATTGGTCTAGACAATAATGATCTTTGACAGATGGGTTACATGTAATTTTCTGCTTCACAGTTTTGTGTTCTCTGGGAGTGGTTTTTTGTTTTGTTTTTTAAAGCTTTTACTGTGAACTGAGTAATAGTTTACATGGAAGAACATCGGTTTTACACTCATCCTATGGTATTTTGTTTCATTGAAACGATTACAATCCCCTCCATGCATCATCATTCAACAGTATTTGCTTCTATTCCCTCTGTTTGTTTTTTGGTTTTGGATGTATACAAACACTCAGGAATATATAATCATTTAAACAAACAAAGGGCCCATTCTGCAAGCCTACTGCCTGGCTGTGTGAGTGGCTTCAAAAGTTTGACGTGCCTATGAAAAATGTGGGGTTTGTTTAAAGGCTGATTCCTTTGCCTCAACTTAGATGGAGGTCTACAGCAGAGTTGAAGAAATTGCATTTTTAGCAACCCTCGATGGTCAATGCAGAAACTACAAAGCACTGTTCTCAACATTCTGTGATAAGCATGAACCTCGCTTAAAGTCATAAGAAAACTTTTAAAAATAATATGGAAATGTTGGTCCTATGTTAAGACTTTCTACATTGCTCCAGATGTGCCCAACAGCCATCAGCATCCTACACATAGGGGAACGATCCTAACCGGTCCCTATCCTTGCCCCAAACTATCAAATGATGAGGGTTCCGCTACGTTAGGCTGACTTTGCATTAGGGTCACACACAGGCAGCAGCCTCCACATTCTCACCGAAGCGCAATTTTCAAACCAGCACCAGAATGTGTGTTTTAGCCAAGAAGTGAAACAAGAGAAAGCTGGAAGTTTAGGTGCTTCCAGAACACGCCCCCCATGCCCCCTCCTGTCAGTGTGTGGCAGGCAGACGCACAAGAGTCACTGGACATGCAAGAGAGTGAGTACCAAGCCTCTGCCAACACCTCACCTTCCGCTAACCATAATCCTCTGCTTCCAGTGCTGCCTGATGCGTTCCATTTCCATAATCAGTACTGATTTATATACAAAAACAAAACCAGTGCTGTGGGACAAAAATGCAGTCCCCTATAGCCCACTCAACACCACATATGAACTAACAGACCACTGGGACTCCAGAGAAAATGTATATAGCCGTTAAATAATGCCCTTTCTCTCCTGCATGGTTCTCATCAGATCTGAGCGCCGCCTGCAGTTACGCTACGTCTAGGCGATTCTTTCCCAGAAAGCACAGGCTATCTTCACAGGCGGTTAAGTGCACAGAAATGTTTTGTCAGTGCCATCTGATGACGACAATGGGCCTTTTATTCTTCATGACTTCAAAGTATTGATCACCCTAGAAGGCCACCTTCCAAACTGGGGCATAGACCAAGGAGTTGTTGGTCACAGCTGCCAAGCCCCCCAGAGACAGCACCAACTTCTAGTATACACAACCCTGCAGGGGCACACTTCTCAAATTACGATGTCAGAAACCATAACTCCTAGAGTCACACATTTGTGGTCAGTGGGTTTCGGCTTAGGTTGGGGCTGAAATGGGTCCCCTTCTTCACCATTAGCCAAGTGAAGGTGAGGGAAGCTGGGTCAAGTCTTGGCTGTGATACTTACTAGGGCTAACCCAGGGAAATTTTTCCTTTGTCTCATTTTCTTACTTGGAGTCCTTGTGTGGCACTGTGGGCTAATGCATCAGACTGCAAAGTCATTTCAACTACAAGGTCGGTGGTTCAAGCTCACCAGCTGCTCCTTGGAAAGAAACCCTATACAGGGTTGCTATGGGTACGAACCGACTCAACGGCACTTAACAACAACAATAACAACAACATTTTCTTACTTATCAGTGGGCACAACCATGAGACTATAAGTTGCTACAACGATCAAACACTATAAACCACGTAAAACAGCACTTTCAGTAAGTTCTTTTGGTTGTATGACCCAACATGGTAGTCATCATTCCTGCTGCCCAGTTAAATGCAAGACTGGTCCTGGGCCTCAAGCCCCCTACACTTCTGAATGTTTCTCAATTTACATTTCCTTCAGAGAGGCTTGGAACCATGCTCCACTCCACCTGGTTTTCACCGCTTGCCACCCGGGCTCCTGGTCTAAGCTCAAAGCTGTTCAGCAAGTTCACCACGTCTTTGCACCCAGAGAGCACATCTGCAGACCCTGCAGACACAGATGAACCACCCGGAGACCCTGGTCACACTCACAATGTGCACACTTGTCTCCCATTTTCCTAGCTGACAACTTCAGAGGCCAGTCTATGTGGCAAGTGCCAGGGTTAGAGAAAGCAGCTGGCCACTCCCCAGGGCTTCCGTCTACTCCCAGCCTCCTCCCCTCCAGGCAGCTCCTGGTGTCAGCTGCTTGCTGCTGCTGGGTGGCCAGCAGAGACTCTCTGGAGAAAGACAGTGCCCTCAAAAGCTCTTCGGGAGTTTTCTGTGGGCGGGGCTACTCCCAGACATCCGAAAGTCATTCACAATTCACCGAACAGTTAAAAGGGAAAAAAACACACAAAAAATGAAACTGTTGAAGAGTAACATGTAAAATATTGAAGGAAGGAAAGAAAAGAAGTAAAAGGAAATGTAAGGGAGAAAGAACAGGCGAAAGGAGGACTATCAACATTTCACTATCCATTTCTATACAGCCTGTTGCCTTACAGCAAGCATGTGTTATTCTGTAATTAATAAGAAGACAAATGAATGCCTGAATGCATTACTGCGCTCAATCCCAGACGACGCTGGGTTCATTTTCAGATGAAAGTCAGAGGTCTTTCTAAAAGAGGTCAATGCCGTCGAGGTGGCGCCAACTCACAGTGATCCCGTGCACAACAGAGCAAAACCCTGTCGGACCCTGCGCTGTCCTCACAATTGTGGTTATGCCTGAGCCCACTGCTGCCACTGGGCCAACCCATCTCACTGGGAGTCCGCCTCTTTACTGCGTACTCCCTACTGTACCAAGCATTATGTCCTTCTCCAGGGAAATGCCCCTCCTGATAGCGTGTTTGAACTACGAGCGACAAAGTCTCATCATCCTGGCTTCTAAGGAGCATTCTGTTCATACTTCTTCCAACTCAGAATTGTTTGTTCTTCTGGCAGTCCACAGTACTTTTAGCCTTCTTCTCCGACACCATAACTCAAGTGCATCAATTCTTCTACAATCTTCCTTATTCACTGTTCAGCTTTCGCATGCATATGAAGCTATGGAAAATACCACGGCTTGGGTCAGGCGTACCTTAGTCCTCAAGCTGACATCTTTGCTCTTCAACATTTTAAAGAGGCTCTGTGCAGCAGATTTACCTAATATAATATTTGATTTGGTTTCCTGACTGCTGTTTCCATGAGTATTGATAGTGGATCTGAACAAAATGACAACTTCAATCTTTTCTCTATTTATCATGATGTTATTGGTCCAGTGGTGAGTATTTTTGCTTTCTTTACATTGAAGTGTTGTGCTCTTTGATCTGCATCAATAAGCATTTTAAGTCCTCTTTGCTTCCAGCAAGCAAGGTTGTATCATCTGCATATCTCAGGTTGTTAATGAGTCTTCCTCTAATCCTAATGCCATGCTCTTCTTCATAGAAGCCAGCTTCTCAGATTACTTGCTCAGCATCCAGATTGGGTAAGAATGATGACAGAACACAACTTTGGAGCACACCTTTCCTGATTTTAACCCATTCAGTGTTTCCTTGTTCTGTTCAAACAACTGCCTGATGTTTGCTAACGAACCTTTACCAGCAGACACCGTGTGGGGGCTTCCTAAGCTAAGCACC